CAGTACCAGAAAAAAAAAAGTGTGTCTGTTCTGCATCTGCAGATTCCCTGCAACCCCAGGCACTGTCCCAGCAAGTCACTTTGTGAATATGGACACAGTGACCCCAAAATCTACCTGGGGATGCAAAAGAACCAGAAGCGCCAACTCAGTACTGAAGCAGGAGGAAGTCAGGAGCCTGATACTACTTGACTTTAAGGCTTACTATAAAACTAAGTGGTGTGGAACTGCTGAGAAAGCAGACAATCAGATCAATAAAACGAAAAACAAAGTGCAGAAACTGACCTATATAGGTAGAGTCAACTGATCCTTGATCAAGGAACAAAGGTAATGACATGGAGCAAAAATAGCCTTTTGACAAATAGTGCTGGGACAAGTGGGCATCCACACACCACAAAAATCAATCTAGACACACACTTCTGGCCTTCGCAGAAACTACCTGGACGTGGACCTCGGGTCTAAATGTCTACCACAGCACTGTACACTCTCAGGAGTTAACGTCAGGGGAACACAGATGGCCGTAGGTATGGCCCAGACTCTAAGAGACACCACAGGAAGCACAGCCTGCAAAACAAACAACTGAGGGGCTGGCCTGCAAGAAATTATAACCTCTTGCTTTGAGCAAGACCAGGTCAAAAGAAAACAAGGCAGGCCATGGAGTGTCGGCAAATGGCATGTCTGATAAAGGACTGATATCCAAAGTACACAGAGAATTCATAGAAACCAACAATTAGCAAATGGAAAATGGCAAAAGCCCTTAGCGGACGTGGTACCACACAAGTCACACAGATGCCAAAGAAGCTTCTGAGATCACATTGACCAGAACAGGACCGAGGACCAAGAGTCACCATGGTCTGGATGGGGAGCAACAACCATGGCTCATTGCCGCAGGGCATGAAAATGGCCCGGCCCTCTGGAAGGCAGTTTGGCAATTTCGTAAAAACTATACACACTCACAGTGCGATCCAACAATCACACTCCTTGGTATTTAGCCCAGTGACGTTAAAGCCTATGTCTACATGAGAGCCTGCAGGCAAATGTTTACAACAGAGGATTCATCACTGCCAAAACTCAGAACTGACTGAAAGGTCCTTTCTCCCTCAGTGAACAGATAAACTGATACCGCCTCACCCTCAAAATGTTTTTAGAGCTAAAACAAGCTATCAAGCTATGCGAGGACTTGCAGGAAACTTAACTGCATTTCACTAAGTAAGAGCAGCCAATCTGAAAAGGCTACATACTGTGTGATTCTAAAGATGTGACACTTTTAGAAAAGGCCAAATTGTGAAAACAACAAAGACATCTGAGTTTCCAAGGAGTAGGGGAAGCAGGGAGGACCGAGTTTCCATGGGTGTAAAATGACTCTGTGATTTTACATCGCTGGGTGCACGCCCTCACATAGTTGTCAAAAATGCGTGTCTCTATCTGTTTTCCTGAGAAACCACTTTGAAGATATCAATATGTAATACAACAAGCATTGTTAATTTCCTACCACTTTGTTTGTAACTCTGTATTGTCTGTACTGTTCTTTTGCTGTTTTGTAAAAGGTTGTCTGTCTGTTAATGTTTTCCTCCTTTTATTTTTAAAATAAAAAAAAAAAAAGTAAAACAAAATGCACAGAATACAGAACACCCAGGATGGATGCCCAGGCATACTGCAGACTGTGAGTGATCAGGGTGTGTCACTGCAGGTCCCTCAGCTTCAAAAACCATGGCCATCAACTTCTGGAAAGATTAGAAATGAATGGGCTGGAAATATGAAAGCTGGACCTTCTGCTTAATTTTGCTAGAAACCTAAAACGGCTCTACGAAGTAGTTTTCTTAATTATAAATAAACAAAAACCACAATGAGGTAACACTTTGTAGCCATCAGGATGCCCATAATGAAAAGCAAAAGGAAATAAATGCTGAAGATGACATGGCGATGTCAGAACTCATGTGCACTGTTGGTGGGAATGGAAAACAGCAAACAGGATCATGGTCCCTCAGACAACTAAAAATAGATTGCAGCATGGTCAATCCAGCCACTGCACTCTGGGCATATACCCAAAAGAACAGAAACGAAGGTCTCAAAGAAATATCTGAGAATCATGTTCATAGCAGCATAAGACTCGGAAGGCACCCAGTGTCCATAGACAGGTGAATGGATAAACCAAATATGATGTATACCTCCAGTGGAATATCATTTATCCATGAAAATGAATGCAGGGCTGATACATTTTTCAACATGGAAGAAACCTGGGAACATTATACTAACTGAAATCAACCAGTCCCAAAAACACAAATCCTCTATCACTCTACTTGCATAACCGATAAACAGAGTAAGGGAGGCACAGTGTGACAGGAAGTAGAATGGTGGTTCCCAGGAGCAGGGGACATGGGAGAAGTAGCTGTTTGTGGGTAGAGTTTCAGGATTTGAAGAGAAAAGTCTGGAGATCAATGATGGTAATGCTCTCAGAACAATACACTGAGATTTAAACTGCTGCACTGAATACTTAACACAGGCCTAAGATGTAAAACTCTGCTACATCTATGGTACCACAGTAAAAAATAAAAAATTAAGTATTTTTGAGTTAATTTTGTATTTTTATGTAATAATAAGCATTTAGGACTTTGCAAACTGATAACGGAGTGAGAATAGCTGCTAAACTGTATCGGAAAGCAGTCATCGCTTATCCAAGACAGGTTCTGCTACAGATGAAAAGCTATGCAAGTTTAGTCCTTTATAACTCTTTAAGTCAGTCCCCAACTGTAACTGCCTATATGACCATGTGACTATCCAACTCTGAATGTTTAATATTTGTTCTGTTTTTGCTGTAAACTGAAAAAACAAAAACTGCACTAGCCAGTTTGGGAAAAGAAAAATAAGCCAAGTATGTTTTTAAATGATTGTCTAACCCAGTCACCAAAAGAGACATAAAAATCCTAGAGAAACATTAGGAAACTGAGTCCAGCAATATATAAAAATTGTGTTTAGCCCAGAAAAGCAGGTCTTTTTAGTGTGAGAAAATCGATCTATGTTCATTCATACAGTAATAAAGAGGGAAAGATAGATCTAAGTAGATGCAGAAAGCCTTTCATGAAAATGAACACTCACTAATTTCTCTTTTAAAGTGTACAAAGCACATGGTCAAGCTGAAAGGACAGAGAAGGCAGCCTGAACAGAGGGGCAAATTTGGAGCAATCTGAGCAGCAACAGAAAAATGAAGGTGACGGGCTCCCTGCTCCCAACAGAGCAGACGTCACTTTCTCTCCTTTTCGTCTGGAGGGCAGCTCGTGGTATTTGTAACTGTGCTACAACTTCCCGACACTTAAATGCCATTGTCTATGTACACTAGAGAACAAAAACAGTAACACAGCAACATAAAAATTATTAGAAAAAAAGAAAATATCAAATTTATTTAAAAAATTCTCTTGCATAGTTGAAAAAAGTTGGTAAAAGACTTAAGGACTATCACAAGAAAACCCAAAGCACAAAAGGTCTATAAACATACCAAAATATGCTTGACTTTACTGAGAAGCAGAGAAAATGTAAACTAAGGTCATAAAAAACTGTTTTATACCAACCAGATTGACAAAATTTTTAAAAATATGCAGAATAACATAGCTGTTGCACACTGCTTTTTGAAGTAGCCCAATCATTTCAAAACAAATAATTTTGTATTTATGAAGTCGAACATGGACATAATTTACCCCCAGCAAGTCCATTACTAAATGTACACTGGGAAACTCTTCACAGACATGCCCAGGAGAGATGTGTAGAGTATACAGCATTACTTATGAGTAAAAAAGAGGTAAGGAAGCAAAGAGGGAAGAGCCCAAGAGTCCTTTCACAAGGAAATGGAAAACAAAATGTGCTAAATTTATGCATACAGCATTAAATATAAAGCAGTGAAACTATCTCAACTCCAATTGAATATAAGCCTCAAAAAACTTGTCTCATAAAAGGACACCATTTGTGCAAACCTTAAAGACTATGTTAATATATGATAATAAACATGTGTGCCACTACAGGGACACATGCACAGTGGAGTTAGGAAGAAAAGCAGGTCAATGGCATTTCAGAGTCAGGACAGTGATCGCCTCCAGGTTACGTTTAGGGCACACATGACTTCACAGTCAGGACAAAGCTCTGCTTTTCTTTGGAGGGAAAAGAGCTTATGCTGTTTATTATCTAAATGTGTCATAACTTCCCTACGCTTAAATGTTGTACACATGTAGCAATTATTATAGAATAAAAAGCAATGATGACATAATAAAAATGATCAGAAGAAAATCTTAAGTATATATACACACACACACACACATGTATATACATATATATATACATATGTGTATATGTGTGTGTGTGTGTTAAACTAATGCTGGAGAAAGCACAGGTCTCTTTACATACTAGTCATTCACTAGTATCAACCGGCCAGCAGCCTGGGGGCCCAACTCCAGCTCCACCACCTGGAACACTCCTCTGCCTCATCCACTGGCTCCTCCCTGCCCCCATCCACTCGGTGCTTCCCAAAGCAACCTGCAGGACCACCTCATCCCACACCTCCATCTCGCACCCTGGTTTGTCTTTCTTCTTTGTTGTCTTATAATTCTTATCACTTCCCAATAGGCCATACAAACTGCACGGTTCACACTGACTTCCCTCCTTCCCCACTGAGTGCTGACTGCTATACCCCAGGCACTGGAGTCCTGGGCTCGGACAGCAGGTCCCTGTGGGTGACACCCCACTTTATCTAACAGCTGGACATAGAGGGTCACACAGTCCCCTACTTCCATCTCATTCATTTCTCAACTCTAATATATAAAAAGGTTTGGCACAACCTCAATCAGATAACTTGAGTCAAATTAAAATCTTCTGGGTGGCCCACTGCTGGTGTCACAAGACTTGAATGGCTCTTGTCATGGCTATAAAATTACGTCACAGCTAGTTTCAACAAAGGGCAAATCACGTAATAGTTCATTTTAAGGTCAAACTAAAAGGTAAACAAATGATGAACAAACCATTACCATGTGTATGTAAATGATCTTTCGCAATTTACAGACATCGATGTACCCCACAACATACACTGCAAATAAGGAGGCAACCTGAAATTTAGAAAGAAATTAAGTTAAAAATAAAATCATATACTTAAGATGAACACCTGTAAAGAAAAAGATTTTGTTGTTTCAAACTGATTTATATTCATAAAGAAAGGAAGCTCTTTAGTGTCCTTTCTATCAATTTAGTATTGAACAGTACAACAAGATAGCAAATCCTGGTTGATTTTCTTCTCCTGTACACCCTATCTCAAGTAACCATGGGAATCATCTGCTTTGTGGATTAACTAAAACAATTCACTTTAGTATCAGGTTGACTCTGTGGTCAACATGTACAATTAAAAGTACACAGTCCAATAAATAAATGAAAATGTAATTACAATATGACTACTAATACATAACTGGAGAAGTGTTATGGCTGGTGTCTAGAAGTCCTCCCAAAGCCTCGTGGAGTCATAAGTGGGGCTTTTGCAGAGGTGGCTGGATTTTGAGTGTGTGATTCATGGTACAATGCTAGGACTCAGGGTCCAAGGATTAAGAGTAGGTGATTATTAAGTTAGTCCATTGGAGGGCTGGGGATTTAGCTCAGCGGCAAAGCGCCTGCCTGGCAAGCACAAGGTCATGAGTTCGGTTCCTGGTACCGGAGAAAAACCAAAAAAAAAAAAAAAAAAAAAAAAGTTAGTCCATTGGTTTGGCACTGCCCTAATCCTGGTAGTCTGGATACAATATAAGGGACAGAAAGAGGCTTGTCTTGTCCCTTGCTTGCTTGTTTTGCTACTTTCTACCTGCCATGAACTGTTTGTCCTCTGAGATGCCCCTCTGCCTTGCCACCCTGCCTTAGAACCAGCCAATTATGGGCTGAAACCTCTATAAGCTATGAGCTAAATAAACCTTTCCTCCTTTAACTTTGACTACTGGGTACTCTGTCTCAGTAACAAAAGAAAAAAGGAACTAAGACAGAATTTGGTATCAAAGAAATAGAGTCCTTGCTGTGACTGTACCTAACCATTTGGTTCAGAAACCTTTGGGACTGGCTTGTGGGAACAGTTTGGAAAAATACAGAGATGCCCGATGAAAAAGTAGAGCTGGAATGCCTTATGCTGTTCTGACTGGGAGATTCTGGTCAGAGCTCAGAAGACCAGAAGGTTGACAGAAATGCTGCTGGTAAAAGACCAGAGTTGGGATGTTTCTGCTGGTAAGAAGGACTGTACTGGCTGTTGGACCCCAGAACATGTATGTTATGGCTTGGCAGAAAGTTTGTCTACATTTTTCTCATGTCTGGCGACTTGCCTAAAACTAAGATTAAGACCTAAAACTAAGATTAATCTTGCAGAAGAAATTGCCAGGCAGTCTAATGTTGAGGCAGTGGCATGGCTACTGTTGGGGGATTTTAGCTAATTTTATGTTGAGAATCAAGAGCAAAGAACCCAGCAGAATGATTCAAAACACTGTGAGTTTGGCCAGAAAGGAAGCTCCAGTAAAGTTGTAGCAGACATTGGTCACTGAAAAGACTAACAAGAAAAAGCCAAGTATTTTAGAGAAAGACAACAGAAAAGATGGCCTGAAGACAACACAAGAACCACCAGCACTCCAGCCTTTATAGCCTCATAGTTGCAAAGGTGAAAGACTTTGGTTTGAGAAGAGAAACCCAGAGCACCAGTTTCAGAATGGTGGCGCCTAGGGAAGTTGTTCCTCAGGATTTAGTTCATAGACACTCAAGCCCTACAGCCAAGAGAGAAGGAAGCCTGGCACTGCTCCAGCTTGCAGCAGACCTCGGCATCATTCATGCAGTACTGGTTTTAGGTGCATAGAGAACACGAGAGTTGTAGGGTCACAAAGGTTTCTACCCAGACTTCAGAAGAAGGCCTGGGAAGACAGGTAGTATGCCCCTGACAGAGTAGTGTTTGAAACTCTGAGTGTGAACCCCAAGGTGCAGTGGAGACCCCCAGAAGCTTGGAGAGGCCAAGAATGTGGATCGTCTGAGGAAAACCGCAAGGAGGGAGCAGAGCTGGCCAAAGAGAGAAGCCTTGGGAGCTACCACTGGAAGTGCATAGGAATGACGTCACCCAAGCCCTTTGTAGTTCACATTTTGCTATGGATTGCCTTAGATGCTATACATGGAACTACAGGACTTACTGTGTGCCCTGCTGGATTTTGGATTTGCTTTCGTCCCATTCCTTTGTATTCCTCTACTTGTACCCTTTGGAGCAGTAATGTCTATCTTGTACCATTGAATGCTGGAAGTGTTGAACTTGTTTTCCTTTGTATAGGGGCTCAAAGCTAAGAGTTTGCCTTAAATCTTAAAGGAGAATTTGGACTTGGACTTTTCAGCAATGTTGAAACTATTAGGACTTTGGCAACTCTCGGAGATGGACTAAATATCTTTTAAATAAAGGGACGTTCTGGAGTCTTTGGGTGGCCAGGCTCAGAATGTTCTGGTTTGTGTCTAGATATCCACCCAAAGCCTCATGCAATCATAGGTGGGGCTTTTTCAGAGGTGGGTGGATTTCGAGTGTGCAATGCTAGGAGCAAGGGTGCTAAGATTAAGGGTGGGTGATTACTAAATCAGTCCACTGATTGCTTTGGCACCTCCCTAATCCCAGTAGCCTGGATACAACATAAAAAGGCTTGTCCTATCCCTTCCTTGGTTCTTTTGCTACCTTCTGCCCACCACCACCTGTTTTCCTCCGTGATGCCTGTCTGCCATGCTGCCCTGTCTTGCAGCCAGCCAAGTATGGACTGAAACCTCTACAAACTAGGAGCTAAATAAACTTCTCCCCCTTTAACTTTGAGTGTTGGGTATTTTGTCTCAGTAACAAGAGAAAAGACTCTAAGACAGGAAGGTAAATTAAACTCAAAAATAATTAGGCAATGCATATTTGTGTAAAAATTAATTTCTGCTACATAGTTACTATCTGCAAGTATCTCCATTAACCTTCTCTTTCATTAGTGTAACTATTCAAGCATTAGTTATAGTCAAATTAAGCAAATTTCAAAATAGAAGGGCCACTTTCACTATGAAGACATTTTTAATTTTCCTTCCCATTTGGGGAAAACAATATGTTATTTTTTAAGAACCCTGCGAGTACTGGAAAGATTTGGATGGATCAACTGATGAAATGGTGATACTGTATCTCTTATAAGCTAGCAGCATGCAGACAGCGCCTCTCCAGCCTTGTTTACAAAGAAAGTCACTCAGACCAAACTCTCTGCCTCCCCTACTATAGGAATAGAGCACTGGCACACTGCACAACAGACAGATACTTCAGCAACAACTTAAACTCCTTTTATCTGGTTTCCTATATCCAAGTACAATAGCAATTTTACCATTAGTAAGAAAATTCACAAGCTGTCCCTTCAGGTCCTTCATCCATCAGCCATGGGGAGAACTGCACTGCTTGGGGTGATCAAAGGACACAGTAACACAGTAACTGTGTGTGTGTGTGTGTGTGTGTGTGTGTGTGCGGAGCGGGGTGGGTGTGTTGTTGGCAACATGAGTCTCACAGAGCAGCACGAAACAACCTCAAAACAAAGCAAAGCTCAGGCTATCTCCTGCACTGGAAGCAAAGGAAAGACCCCTTTCCACTCTAGGGGCTAAACAATATACCACACATAAAGGCAGAATCATAGAGAATTTGAGGTCAATTTAAAACAGAAATGGACTTAAGACATCATCAAACTAAGAAGACAAAGGACTCTAAAAGGTAAGAAGTACAAGTTAAGCCACCTTCTAAAAAACAAAGATAGCCAGTAACCTGACTGACATTGGCCAAGTACCGGGTGCTGTGCTAAGGGTCTTACACAAGTCACCGCATCTGATTCTACAAAGCAGGTTCTCTTCCTTTCCCTACTTCAGAAATGAGAAAGCTAGAACTAAGAACGGCTAAGTTTTCTGTCCAAGTAGAGAAGCTAATGAACAGTTAGGACTCAAATCCAGGCCTGACTTCTTTTCTAAAGCAACACATTCCAAAGAATATTAAAAAGCAATTCATCATGCTAAGTAAAATAAATCAGACACAGAAGGTTAAATATTGCAACTTCTTTTGTATGAGAAGCCCAAAGAATAAATCATTTAAGAAGCAAAATAAAAAATAAACAATAGGAAACTGGGAGGTGGAGCGTGAGGAGATGGGGAGAGGGTCGGGAGATGAGGAGACGGGAGGGTGCAAGGGGAAGTGCGAGGAACTGGGTCAAGGTGTAGTAAGCGCAGGTACCGACTCCCCACAGCGGTGTGTTAACTATGCATCACAAGCAGAAAAGGGGGAAATTACTTTCAAAACATCATCCTGAAGTCAGTGATTAGAAGCAATTTCCTTCTTTTCTAGAAAAAGCAACTAGTCAATTGCTTTGTATCGACATGGCCAGCATAAAAGAACACAAACAACAACAGCAGGGAGGGGAGATGAGCACAGTGTGGTCCCTGTCCCTGCAGGCTGCCTTCCTCTGCATTCCTCTATTGGCTGAGAGGCAAGAGCTCACACAAGCATGGCGGATACATGCAGGCTGGTGGCAATGAGCCTGTAACACCAGAACTCATTAGGTGTTTACCCTGTTATCCTGTGCAGGTTTATCCTACATGTGAGGCAGTAGGCACCAGTCATGAGACAAACATGTATGCTTATGAGAAATCCTACATCTTACTTAAGGGAAACAGTTGAAGTTATAGTATTGACCCCTTTTTAAGCATGATGACAAATGCTAAGTAATAAAGAGGAGTACTCTTACAAATATTAGTCTAGCAAATGCATTCTACTAATAACCCATATTCATAAATAAATCCCTTATTTATCTCTTACATTGAACCCTTTAAAAACATTAACTAGAAAAGTTTTAGGCTTAAATCAAATAACAACTCAGTTATAATTTTGTATGAATGATTTCACAAGGTTAAACATACTAAGCTGAAACCAGTTTTAAAATATGATCACCTCAGGGCTGGGGATTTAGCTCAGCGGCAAAGCACCTGCCTGGCAAGCGCAAGGTCGTGAGACCGGTTCCTGGTGCCGGAGAAAAACCAAAAAAAAAAAAAAAAAATATGATCACCTCACCTGGGTAAGCAGTACAAACTGAGCAAACTGCCATGGAAGCATGAAGAATACATTGGAAATGCAGAGTGCAATTAGGCTTCCTCTGTAAAGTTTTGTAGCCCTTGAAAAAATAAAATAAATATCAATAAATTTATCCACAAACAGACTGGCCTGGCTCTAAACTGCTGCAAATCAGGATATCAAACAGACTCAGGTTATAACATACACTGAATATAAACTGAACCACCAGTGGATTAGAAGTTACACCTCCCAACACTCAGCAACAACATTTTCCTGTGAAAAGTAAACACCCGCTTTCACTGTAAAAACTTCCTGCCCTCACAGGGACAAGAAGGACAACATGTCAATACAATCACTGAATTTTTTAAAAATTGAATTTTGATGAATTCATAATGAGACACATTTAAACGATTCAGTAGACTGACTAGTTGGAACGATGAGGTTTACCAAAACATGACAGGAAGTGGGGGGTTCTAAGCACTAAGAAACATGCAGGTAAGTTCTATAGCACTTCACACCCGCAGGCAGGCAGCTAGGGGAGACCTGGGGGCCGTAGAATGAAGGTTGGCCTCGTCCTGGTGGGACTGACAGGACAGGGGGGACAGGTGGGACAGGTGGAAGTTCAGGCAGGGCCCACTCCATAGCTGGCTTTAGAGGTATCATGACCATGTGAGGTGAGACGGCTACTCAGTCCATGAGCCAGCCAAAGCCCCCAAACACCTGCATCTTTTCAGAAGTGCAGTGTCCATGTTAACACCCTAGGAGGTCAGGCAGGCAGCATGGAGGGATGTAAGGGATCATCCTGCGGGTTACCCACGTGGCCTGAGCACCTGGGAAATGCTTCTCTCTTACTCCAGTATCCCTTCCACAAAGGACCACCCTCTCCCTGTTATGTGAAGCAGAGCCAAGCATTCTGTAACCTTCACAGTGGGGCCGCAGGTGCATGACCATCTCATGTGACCCAATGGAAAGGTCACGCATGTACCACCAGTGGTTCAAGTGAGCAGAAACGTGTTAAACTCCTGGGAAGTTATTAATGAATTATAAAATAAATGAACTAGGTGAAACACAGCCTTCTTTAATGAAGCAATAGAATGTGTATGACAAAGGGTTCTATCCTCAGAAACTTCCCTGTTAGGTATGTGCTTTTCTGGATACATGTATGCAAGCAAGTAGCCATATTGTAAAATTTATTTCTTATTTCTTACAGGTCATAATGATAAAGTTTGAAGTCTGTCAAGAGGAAAGCACCTCTCTACTGCTTCTGAATACTAAACATGATTTTGTTTCATCATTAACAAAGACCTTGCAGTAGATGTGAGTACTAACCGCACTGAGCCATGGAAGGACTGGAGGGAGAGAGGGATCCACCTGGTGAGCATGCCAGGAATACAGCAGGGACCGACAGCAAGAAAAATGGAAACACAGGCACCAACAATAGGACAAGAAAGAGCTAAGACTGTGCTGGTGTCTGGGGATTCACCTAAAGCCATATCTCAAAAACACTTGCAAGTCAAAACAAGACAAAGCCAGTTTGCTGAAATGAAATAGCTGCTGCTTCATAAATGATCCTGGTCCCAAGGAACGGTTTCTTTCCCTCTTCAACAGCAGTGCCCTCATACTGTGGCCACATCAACACAGGGGCTTCCAGGCCCCCAGGCCACTCCCTGCCACATCTTAATACCTAGAATTTTCTGGGCAGGAAAAAATCAACAACTCAAGGAAAGGGCTACTCTTCCACAGAAGAGGAGCCTGTGATAAAGACAAACCTCAGAAGATAGAGATGAGCTTCAGAGAGGAGAGGGGTCCACCAGAAGAAAGACAGGTGAGGGGGCCTTAGCGCCACTGTCACAGGGCAAGCTTCCCGCAGTAAGTCACCCCAGCCACCACAGTGCCACACGAGGTGAGGGAGCCAGGCCATGCAGGAACAAACTAGAAAGGTGCCTATGGGGATGGCAGGGAAGCAGGCGTGGGGAAAGCTGCACAGCTAGGAACAGGACAAACAGTCACAAGGACTCTGAAAGAAGCTCCGTAAGCTCAAACATCCCCTAAAGCTTTCAGTGGAACACAAAAGACGGGGGGTGCGGGCGGCTGGGGATTTAGCTTAGCAGCAAAGCCCCTGCCTGGCAAGCGCAAGGTCGTGAGTTCGGTTCCCGGTACCGGAGAAAAACCAAAACCAAAACAAAAAAACAAAACAAAACAAAACAAAAAAAGACAGAGACGGTGAAGTGGATGAGGTCAAACGAGAATAACAATGCACTGCTGCATGTGGAAACAGGCTTGCTGTAATCCCAGCACTGTGGGAGGCTGAGACACTGAAAGGGAAAAATTGTACAAGAGAAACTGTTCTTTTTAAAACTTTGCTCTTTTGAAAAAGCCTAGCTCCTTTTCATGGCTTTGTAATTAAACTTTCTTGATCCCGGAACCACAAGACCATAACCAAACATGCAGGATGCCTGACTATATATCATTACCAAGCTTCATAAACTGAGGATCATTAATCTACCCTTGTAACCAATGACCTCATCCTGCTAGCTAACCAGAAGAACTGCCAGACTATTCTGTCTTGCCTTTGTACCTCCTGCTTGTGCATCCTATAAAAACCCAGAGATCTGGGCCTGATATCCTGGGAATGATCCCAATCAGTGCCCATTGCTGTAAATAAATCTTCCTCCAAATCCTGGGGGTCATTTAGGTGTCTCTGCTTGCCATTACAGCAGAAGGACCCCAAGTCAGATCCCAAGCTCAGAAACTTAGGGACTTAGTAAGATACTGTCTGAAAATAAAAAAAAAATAAAAACTTGGACTGAATAGGTAGCTCAGTTCAAAGACCCTGCATTCCATCCTCAGTACCATAAAGAAGAAAAACAAACAAAAAAGAAGATGAGAACAATTTTGAGGGGGAGGGTAAAAAAAAAAATAAACAGTTTGCAGTAGAAGTACCTGGAGAACACTTGTGAGAAACCAGCAGCAAAAAGCCCCTGATGGAGGCAAACAGCAATCGAAGTAGCCCTACAATGGAAGCGAGAACAGCAGCCTCTATGGACTTCATCCTGACTTCTGGGGCAGGTAAAGGCAGGAATTCCTGCCAGAGGAACAGGGCTGCAGATGCATGTCCAGGTACTAATCACCAGGTCAACAGAAAGGGAGATGAATCCAGACTATCCAAGTGGCTGGAGTAATAAAGCATTTTAAAAGCAGTAGAATCCCAGCTGCACAATCAATAGCATCAAACCAACAAATGGGATCATATCACATCAAAAAGCTTCCGTACAGCAGAGGAAACAACCGGAGAGCTGAAGAGACAACCTGCAGAATGGGAAAAATTTGCCAGCTACGCCTCAGACAGAGAACTAGTATCTAGAATTTAGTTCTCAGACAGAGAACTAGTATCTAGAATTTACAAAGAACTGAAAAAATCAGACACCCCAAATAAAAGACCCAATCAAAAAATAGGCAGCTGAAATGAACAGAGAAAAAATGTTCAACATTTCTGGGCATTAAAGAAATGCAAATTAAAAAAATACCAAGATTCCACCTTACTCCAGAAATAAGGGCAATCATCAAGAAATCAAACAACTACAAATGCTGGTGAGAATACAGGGAAAAAGGAAGCCTCCTGCCTTGTTGGTGGGAATGTAAACTAGCACAACCACTATGGAAATCAGTATGGAGATTCCTCTAAAAATTAAAACTAGAAATTCCATTTGACCCAGGTTTTGTGCTTCTAGGCATCTTCCCATAAGAGTTAAAGTCATCATATACAGTAACACATGCGTATCCAGGTTTATAGCAGAATAATTCATAGTAGTTAAATCTTGGAAGCAGCCTCTATGTCTATCCACAGATGAACAGATAAAGAAAGAGTGGTATTTATACACAATGGAGTAGTACTCTGCCATAAAGAAGGATAAACAAGTCATTTGTAGCAAAATGGATGCACCTTGAGACCATAATATTAAGTGAAATAAATCAGACACACAGCATCACATGGTTTCTCTTACATGAGAAACTCAAAATATAAATAATAATGAGAAACAGGGAAATAGATCTTTTGTAAATGAGAAGGAGATCTAGAGATGGAGGGAGTAGCAAGGAGTGGAGAAGGGGAAAAGAAGGAAATACGTTAAACACATGCACTCATTTCCTGAAGGAAGTGTGAACATTACGTATTGCAAGCATATACTAACAGAAACAGAAACAAAAAATTAATCAACATTTAAATACTCGACAAAGCAGCAGGGAGGGGATGTGACTGCAGGCCTCTACCCCTGCAGTGCTGAAGGTGGAGGGTAGGGTCCAGCAGCAGAGAAGTGAGGACCATCTGCCCAGGCCCAGGCTGGTGGAAAGCAGCAGATGCACTAGGTCAGCACCCCAGCGAGCACCCTCCCTCCAGGTGGAAGGCAGCTCTGCCCACACTGCTCCTTCCAGGGCCATCTGCCAAGTGGACACCCTCACAGGCCCTAGGAGCCAAAGGCAGGGCAGAGGTGACAGATCCATAGACATGCCCTGTGTTTGCAGGTGCTACAGAGGCATTAAACCCTAAGAGGAAAGGACGCAGGGGATGCAGTAAGGCTGCAATCTGTGGACCTTAAAAAGCTCACAGTGTGAAACCCACTACCCTCTGCACCCAGAAAAGTCCCTCTGCAGATAACACATGAGAGACTGGGAGCCCCAGGCCTGCTGAGACCCAACGGGGGGTGCCCAATGGCTCAGCATGAGAGACCCACAAGGACCTTCCCCCCACAGCAGAGCCCTGCGGGAATTCTTGGTCTGAGACAGCTTCAGATTTTATCACGCTTTGCTTAGTTTTCTCTCTAGAGCAAGGCCACGCGTGTTGCAGCTCAGCTGCATCAGCAGAAGTGGACTGTTCTGTGCCCCACCCTGGAGGGCTACAGCTGTGAAATCGCTAACTGAGGCCACTGGAACACAGGAGAGCCTAATCTAGCTCTGAATGTGCAGCAGGAGTTCTCCTAGCGTAACTATGGCCCACTGAGATGGTTCCTTCCTGTTCCTGCTATGCGATTCTCAGGGAAGTGAGAAGGCAGGAAGACAGCTTCCAGGTGTGAACAGCTCTGACTATACCAAGCCTGTGACCTGTTCTTTGCTCCAAAGGACTCTCTCTCATGGGATGAAGTCCAGCATGGTCAGTCCCTCTTTCTCTCAACCACAACAGAAAAGATTTGGGGCAGCGGAGATGGAGATGTAGGAGTGGAGATGGAGATGTAGGAGCGGATTTGTGCTCCTGGAGCAGCCACTGTCAACCAGTAAGAAAAAAGGAAGAGGGCTGGAGGCAGATGGACGAAATGTCTTTGGTGCCAAGTATCTATAAGTTTTGGTCTTAAAATATCTACACAAGTTCAATATAAGGAGATTATCTTGATGGTGTTTACCTGCTCCATTCTGGAAACTTAAGAAACCGTAGAGTAAACTATTTAAGAATAAGTGAAAGTTACCTGAGAATATGAGTCACAAGCAACATCTGAAGCACAAGGAATGGGTATGAGAAGCTTTCTCGGAGAGGTGGCGTCCACATCACACGGGTGCACTGGAAAGAGAACATTCAGAGTGTGTGATACGCTTGCTAAATTTGCTTTAGGACATACCAAGCGAAGGCTGCTTTTTACAAATGCAAGGAGAAGCACTTTTCACACATAATTTAAATGGTGCGTTATGAAACAAGACTTTCCACAAAGAGCAAAACTGGAAAGTGAGAAACCATACTGAGAAAGAGACACACAGGCTTAGAACTGTGCACTGCAGGTACGCTACATTCTCCTCGTCTGTCCTCCATGGAGCTCATGGACGGCTTGGTCGACCCACATCTGGGTTCATGTGAGTAGTGCAAGTGCAGCTGTCTCTTTGGTACAATGATTCATTCTTTGGAGACTTACACCCAGTAGTGAGCTTGCTGGAAGGAGGCTTAGCCACTGTTTACAACAATCTATGACGTATTTCCAAAGATCTAGAAGAGTACAGAATTCCCAGCACACAGAAATTATATATGTTCAAGGAAACGTGTTATCCAGACTGGTCATTAAACACCACTTCTACTAACAGGATCCAGGATTCCTTGGACAACAGTTCACTGTATATCTGAGGAAAAGAAAGTACAAGGCAATCTTGGAATGCTTTGTGTGCCCAAAGAAAGTGTTCCAAAGCTAAAGCAAAGTATCAAAAGAACCAAGGAATTCACCAACAGAAGGTGTAAGGAGCACAAAAGAGACAGTGATATACATAAACAGAGATGAAACATAGCTATGCTGATGGACTGGAACACTGAGTATGTTTAGGGTGTCAGTTCTCCCTAACTTGACTTAGAGTTTCAAAGTAATCACAACTACAATTGTGTACAAGTTGTGTATAAGTTGAGAAAAGAAGCAGCAGCAACAGGCTGATCCTAAAATTTACATGGAATCACAAAGAACCAGAATAGCCATGGCAACAGCAGAAGACTTTCACTACCAGAGAGCAATCTTACAAAGCCACAATATTTAACACAGTATGATACTGCCTTAAAGAGAAAAGAGGCTAATATACCAGATGGAAAGGCTAGAAAAAAACTAAGAAATATACTACCTATGCTCAAAAACATAGGTGAATGCTTACATCAAAAAAAAAAGGCATTATACTAAAAGGCACATTGCCATGAATCCACTTCAAAATATTCTCCCTTCCTTAAAAAAGACTTATCCCATCATTCTGGCCACTTTCTGAAGCAGTTCTAGAAGCCCTCTTTCCTGAGGGAACCAATTCAAAATGTTTCCGTTTTCCTGGTCATTCTGACTTTAGGGAGGAATCAGAAGTCACGTGAGGCCAGATCCAGTGAACAAGAATACAGCGTCAGGTTTTCACCAGCCCGCGTTTCCACTGGATGGCGCTCAGCAGCAGCATTCAGCATGTATCTTTTCGATGTCACACTTCCTATAAAACCACTGATGAAAGAGAACTTCAGAGCTGCTTCAGAAAGTGGCAAGAATGATGGGATAAGTGTGTCTGAAGTTAAGAGGAGGATTTTGAAGGGGATTCGGGGCAAAGTGTCTTTTATTGTAATATTTTTTAAAACTGATACACACATTGCATTTCTAGAGCAGTGCTTGTGTACAGTCAGTCACCTTCTGAATGACAAAATATCACCACAGCTTCCTGGGGAAAGTGGTCTGTTACCTGGGCACCCATAGAGAATATCTAAATGGGGTAAGCAACATACAAGTCCTCTCCAATAGCACTCATCAAGGAATTGCAAACCCAAACTGCAAAAACGCAGGTCTGTTTGCTAATCAGAATGACTAAAATTAAGAGGATGGCCAACAACAGCTACTGATAGGAATGTGGAAGAAAGTGGACTTCCTGGAGGCTGCTAGTGGGAGTAAGAAGTAGTGATAAGCACTCTGGAAAACTATGTAAATAAACACTGCAGAGACATGCTGAGAGAAAGAAGCCGAGCATCAGAAAGTATTATTCCACTTATACAAAGCCCCCAACAGGCGAAACCTGTCCACAGTGACAGAGAACAGAAAGTGCAGACCACTCTTGAAAGACGAGGAGGGTACAGGTTGGCTGGGGACAGGAGACCCTGCCAAGGGTTGAAATACTTGGTATCTTCATGCATAAACACATTTATAGCAGCACAACTCAGCTAAATCTTGAAAGTGGCCCATATGTCCATCAACAGATGAATGGATACCGAAAATGTGTGATTCATACACACTATACACAAGATGAAGTACTATTACTGTGCCATTAAGAAGGACAAATTTGAGTCATTTGTAGGAAAATGGATACAACTGAAGACCATGTTGCTAAATTACATAAATGAGACATAGAATGTTAAATACCACATAACTTCTCTTACAGGAGAAATCCAAAATATAAGTAATTTTTAAAAGACAAAATAAAAGATGCACAAAAAGAAACAAAAATAGATCTTCTGCAAATGGGAAGATGCTCCAGAGATGGAGCAAAGGAGGGAGGAGGGGGCTGAAGGGAAGGGGAATAGAAAGAATCACAAAGATCAGTTAGAGACATGTACAAATCCCCTGAGATGAATGCAAACATTATATATTGCAAACATGGATTGATACAAGTTTTTTTTAAAAGAAGGATACTAGAATGATGGTGGCCAGGGGCTGGGAAGAGAGTGTGGTCACAGCTTCACGAAGGCGGAGTTCAGTCCTGTGAGATGAAGAGTTCTGGAGACGGACGGTGGTGACAGCTGCACACATTACGAATGTATTTAGCAGCACACAACTGTGCCCTTAAAACTAGCTGTGATGGTTAAATTCAACATCATTTATCACAATAAAAACATTGGGGAAAAAGCAATGTAACAGTCAGTCTCTTGATCTGGATCATGGCTACATGATTATGTACTTACGTGAACTCTGCTGATCTGGACAGTTAAGAGATATAAATTTTAATGTATGAAAATTATGTATCATTTTAAAGGAAGGTTCCTACTGGACAGATTTATGAACATGGAGAGAAATTTCGATGCAAATGGGTTATAAAAAACAAAAGGAATCCATACATGTATACTAATGGTACAAAAAAATGGCAAGGGGGAGATCTGTCTTTATAAAAACAGCAATTATTAAATGTAGGTAAAAATGAAAGCATGTGGAAACTGCTGCTTGGGATGGCAAATGTGATGACTGAGTCAGGCGAGGCCCACCTCTGGGTGCCTTAATCACTTGTAAAACGTTACAAGGAAAGAGGATACTCAGAGTACCAACCCACAACTGCTCGTCAATGTCAAAGGAAAAAAGCATCTCTGCAGTAGCTAAATCTGACATCCACCAAATTGAATAGATGCAGTAAAGTCAGCAGTGGTGGAGAAAATGGTCTCACACGCTCCCAGAGGAGCTACAGTGAATAGGATATCATATCATCTATGTCATGTTCTTCAGAAATGCCCACTCTGAATGCCCACTCTGTGACTTAGGGGACATCCAGACAAATTTGTAGTGTGGGGCCTCCACAAATAAGAGGCCTGGATTTCTCAAAAATTCCTGCCATGGGAAGAGGGAAAGAAAACCGCAGGCAGAGGACCTGTCCTAGATAAACTGTCCAGGAGATAAAGTGACAGCTCCAAGCAACGAGCAGTCGCAACTCAAACTCAGGATCCAAAACAAAAGCATAGAACTATTAATTGGGATAACAGTGGAAATCTGAGTATGGACAACATTGAGATACTACTGTAGCTGGGCATGGTGGCCCATGCCAGTAATCCGGCACTTGGGAAGCTGAGCTAGGAAGAGTGCTATGAGTCTGAGGCCAGGATGGCCTACACAGAGAGTTCAAAACTAGTCTGAACTACACGAACCTATCTCAAAAAACTGCAACAAAAATAAACAAACAAAGGTAGTATTGTATAATTATCAGTGTCACATTTCTTGAGTATGATAGAAGTTTAAGGGCATTATGGAAGCATGTCCTTGCTTTGGGAAATTTGTACTAAGGCATTAGGGGTGACATGTCATGGTCTGTGTGACTCATTTCCAATGGATCAGAAAAGTGTCTGTGAATACAGGCATGCATATGAGAAAGAGGAGGTAAATGTGGCCAGATATTAAACTCGTAAGGGAAAGCAAATCTAAAACTTTTCTTTTTTTCCCTTTTCAGTACTGAGGATCAAACTCAGAACCTTACCCTTGCCAGGCAGGTGCTAGGCCACTGCTAAATCCCCAGTCCTAGAACTTTTCTATAGGTTTACAATTTTTCAAAATAAAAAGTTGGAGGGGAAAAAAAGCCACAGAAATAAGCACTCTCCTTGTATTGCTTTTATAGTCTGAGATTCACAGTGGAATGGATGCAGCTCAAATGCACACCACCTGCTGGCTCTGTCTTCACACCTGGCACAAGCACCCAACTGAGGGGTGGATCTGCTGCAGAGAGAAAGTTCTGGCTGGAACCAGTAGAAAAGAGATTTCTTAAGACACCATTTGGAAGCCAACAGGGCAAGGAGCACCAGGGCAGAGGAGGAAAAAGATCTTGTGATCTCCTACAGTGCTTAGGTTCCTGGGCCTGCTAGAGTTGAATCCCAAGATGGGTGGAGATGAACTAAAAAACTCAAAATGAATCTGATATAGGAGATAGGGTATGGCAAAGCTGGCTGGACCAATGAACAGTACCTGTCAATTACAGGATCCCAGGACAATGCCAGGATCCCCTGTATAGAATCTCTCGAGTTCCCATGAGATGTGGATGGCATAAAAGAAGACGGATGCCAGAGAAGCTTGGTATAGTGACTTCCCAAGTAGTCCTTGATGTATTTCTCAGACACAGCATTTACTCTTTGTTTTTACCTTCTTTCTCTCCTGTTTTGCCCAAGTTTACTCTGTTGACCTAGTTTCTTGCTTACCCCTTCACCCCTCACTTTTCAAATAAACTTTCTGGCACCATTTTTGGCTTGTTTTGTCCAATTCTTTGTTCAAGGCAAGAAGGGCCTAGAATACTTTCGATTGGCAAGTCATTTCTAAAGGAACTACTCCATAACAAAGCTACTTCCAGCTCAAATACTGGTAACATCACAGGGATAACTCTGAA